GAGCGTACCATCATATACTAAATAGTACTTATAGTGCCCTTTTCTGCACTCCGATATAGAAATCTGGTTATTCACCACAAATTCATTGGAACAGTAGCATTCTATTTCGGCCTATCAAATTTTCAATAAATGAATTTTTCCGAATGATTTAGAGACACAAAATTGCTAACTTTGACGGCAGAGAATTTGAAATTTTTTGATTTGCATTGTTTTCCACAATCCACGTACGACAAGCCATAGAGTTCTTGCAAATGGCCTTCTTCCAACACACCAAAGCAGCCATAAATTGCATCTGATGTTTATTTTTGAAGGGTCAACAGGATGTTTGAAAATAAGAAAATTAAATTTTTGATGATTTTTAACGGACTTAGCAATTCAAGACAAATAGTAAAATGAGATTTCCGCTAGCCTGAGGACATTGAAGTTATCGGTGATATTGATCTGCTTGGACCGAGCAAGACACATTTAACCCCTTCCGATGTTTCGTTGCATAAGTGCTTCTCATCGCAATTTCCGTTATTTATATGACAACCTTGAAAAATATCAGTTCAGAATTTCATACATTTTCAATTTTTTCTATTAATTAATATATTATTTATTTAACTATTTTGATTTCGTAGGCCAAAGTAGCCTAAGGATCAAGTTAAAAAAACATCTAAATTAATGATTTTTGTTATCAATATAATTAATTTTATATTATTGATATTTGACTATGCTCATCATAATTCCTTATTGATAATTGAATCATTCTCTTACAAACGCAAACGAAATCGGCGTACCAGCTTCGTAGACTTCCATAAACATAAAAAAGAGTGTTCTTTCATAGCGTTCATTGGATAGATGCAGAAATACGTACCGGGACTCGAGTTCGAAGTCTAGACAGTCTACGCACATTGGCCAAGTGATGTGTAGGGCTTGGCCAGGGTACTGAGCGCAAGTTTCAATAAGATTTCTTATATCTTTATTACGGATTTTTCTGAGAGTTAGATTCAGTTTGATATGAAATCTGTCTAAGTTGTCAAGCTCTGAAAGTTATGATAAAAACAAATATATAATTGTATTAAGACTTTTATATTTTGAATGAATAAAATCTTTTGAAAAATTTGAAATATCCACACAGTTAATCAGTTCTTTCAAACTTTAAAACATGAAAGAGCATCGTATAACCAAAAATCTACAGCGATACTCTCACTTATAAGAAAGTGCAAATTAGTTCAATTTGTCGACAATTCGTTATGAACGGCGTCGAAAGTTTGAGTTCATGTTCGAAGAAATTGATACATAAACATATACATATAACTTTTTTTACAAATAGAAGAACAAAATTATTTGAAAAACTGTATAATTAACCAAACAAAACTTATAACAAGAACCGACTTAAAGAGTTTTGAGCGAGTATGCTCTGGACGCAAACCCTTCCCACACGATAGAGACTCATCAGATCAACGTAACAATATGGGTTCTGATCCTTTGGACTAACAATATTGATGTGTGTTTGAAAGATATTTTCTGAATATTCATTCCGACTTAAATCCATAGTCGAACATCTTTCACGAACATTCACATTAGGTGGCAGGCGATTGAATAATTTATAGTCTGTAATTTTTATTGCGATTAAAAATTAAAATTCTAAATTTATTTTTTGATTTTTATATGCTTAACGTTGGCATTTGTTAAGAGCAGTTTTGTACATCAGATAGGGACAGGAACATACTGATCTCCAACCAACATCGCCCATTCCAATGTTCACCTCCTCACACTTCATACTGCGACCGCAGTCTCCGTTGTTCACAGAGCAATCTAGACAGAGATTTGAAATTTATTTCTTCAAACTTTTAAAAAACGTTAGACTAAAAACATGGTGATGAAAAAATTATTGCGAAATAATAAATAGAATAAAAAATATAAAAGAAATTAAATGATTAGAGTATACCAACAACAACTTTAAAGAGCGATAATGTATGGATATGACTAAATAATGAAAGTTGTAGTGGGCATTTAACAAATGTTCTTTGAAGATATAACTACCATTAAAGAGAACAAAAATAAAACCTCTCGTTCTACAATCTTTCCCTTTCCACCCATTCTTGCACAGAAGTGAAGGACACTTGTTTGTCAGATGATAGTCATAGTCATTGTAGTCTTTACAATGGGAATAAGAGGATATGCCATCATCCAGATACATCAGTAAACGCGCTGTAAATAATTTGGGATTTTTCAGGAAATTAAAGCTTGAGAGAATTTAAAAACAAAAATAGAAAAGTTAGATAAACTTCGCATTTGTTTAAACTTTCAAAGGATGTTTAATGACTAGGGCTGTACCGAATGTATTGTACAGAAGCCGAATTTTGCCGAATTTAAAATCGCAAATTCGGCCAAAACCAAGGCTAAATTTGTGCATCAAATACGTTCTATTTTTCAACTATTGCCTAAATTCGTCTCAAGTCAAATGTTTTTTTCATATTGTAAAATTATAACAAATCTAACGCAAATTTTTGCTATTTTTAATTTGTTTGTCTATTTTTTACCATGTACAAACTACTACTAAATGCTGAAAATAATTTTATGCACTGACTGTGCATAATTTGTTGGAAAAAATTTTAAACTGTCGTTTAATTTTTGCTGAAGCTTACGTAAAAATAAGAAGAATTAAATTCGTCTCCGGCAAAAATTTTTGCCGAACTTGCACCAAATGTGAAAAAAATGCTCAGCCCTAGCATTGACATATAATGAGCAGTTGACTGGTTTTACATTTGAATATTATTAAATTAAAATGCGTCGTTGTTCGTGAACATCACCTCCATAGAGTAACGTTAATTCAGGTCCTCCACGTTGGTAGGAGAATCCGCAGATTTCTTCAGTCCTTTTCATGAAATGAACATATACATGTTTATAAGTGCATTTGTTTATAAATTCAAAATAAAAATCCATGAAGATAAAAAATTTTTAAATTATAAACAAATTCATTTTTCACTTTGACGACTGAATTGATTTTTTAATAAAAATTAAAGAGGCGCTGTTCAAAAATTCACTCTTCCAGGGACAGATTTAAAGCTGGTAAAGCCTAAGAAATTGAAAAAGTGAAAATTCTTATTTATTTAGTACAGGCTCTTATTTATTTACAAAAAATGATGCCCTTTTTTTGGTTGCCTAGGAGCAATAACTTCAACAGCCCTGTCAGTGCGCTGCCCTGCCCTACCTTAAATCCGGCTCTAACCCTGACCCGTACTTCACTTTCCAAGATCTTTAGTTCTGCCTTTGTCTCCAGCATTTTCTTCATCTTTCGACTTCTGTATATTTTTTTATAGAGCTTCTCTGTATATTCCTTCTATCTTTTTTCATCTTCTCTTTTATATATAAGTCACTCCCTTCTTTGCCACAAAGTGAGCTAAACTGGTGTAAAATTTCCAGCTATTCAATTTTTGATCATGTATATGTTTCGTAATTTTTCTATCCTATTCATGTCATCAATCTTTACGTATTTTGTCTACTTCGGCTTCTTTGCCTTTTCTTGTAGTTTTTTGAAATTGTGTATTGAGCTTCCTGAATATCTGTTTTGCGTTTTGCTTTTTTTCTATAATCTGCAATTTGGAGAACAGATTGTGTAAGCCATTTTTGCATTATTTGCCTTTTCAAGAAAAATACTTTATTATATTTCTGTTTACATCTGTTCTGGCTCTTTTTTGGCTCATTCAAATTTGACGAAAAACATTAGTATTGCTCTATAATTTATTTTTTAGATGTTTTTCACCCTGCCAAAATAACAAAATTTATATTTAAATAAAATAAATCAGTCAATCAAAAAATACATTAATAATTCCAAGCATTCAAAAATATTGCAATAATTTCCATTTAAACATTTCTTCATACATCTAAAAGATACTCAAAAAATGATTTTAATAAAAAAATTATTTACCAATAATTATTTCCTATACTGATACTTTCATAATTTTTACAATTAGTTGCTATCATGTGATCAGTGTTTTTTGATGACTTTAGTTCAATATTCTCCGGTAGCTCAGGAATGCAAACACACGTACCATTGTCCTATGAAATATATAGTTCACAATCTATAAAATAAAATGTGTATTTTTGTTAGATATACACAATGTTTTATGTGTGTGATGTCCCTGAGTGCTATGAAAAAGTAGAAAACCCTCTATAACTATTTAATAAAGGCCCTCAACTATTTAGTGAAACCCTTTATCATTTTGCTAATCTTCAACTTCAACATACCAATATAATCTTTTTGACGACTCTTGTTTATTCTATATTTCAACTATTTTTTTTATTATTACAAACACTCTTTTTCTTATTGAGGTACTCTTTTTGCGGGGCTCCTCTTTCATGTGAAAACCCCGGAACAGTGTGTCCTACCTTTAATCTAACCTTGTTCGCATGCGTTCGTATACAGTAGAAGCCGGTTACATGGACCACCCCGTGACAAATTAGTTTGGATAAGAGGTTGGTTCGGTTATACAAACTAAAGAGATGTCCCGTTAGGGTTAAGGAGGTCCCTATTGGCTCGCAATAAAGCCTTTAAGTTATTATTATTAATAATTTATATCGCTTCTATCAGGGCCGGCTTTAGGCATAGACAAACCAGGCAGTCGCCTAGAGCCTCCAATTTTTAGAGGCCTTGCAGTGCAGATTGAAACAACTTTAATTTAAATAGGTTACAACTGTTCTTAGATGAAATTTAATTAATGGAAGATAATTTGTAAAATTTGGCTTCTTTTGGCTTGCATTAGAAATCCTACTTTGATGAATTAATTTTATATACCTAACTGTTTTCTTTTTAATGCAGCAAGAATTTATCATAAAACAAACGTATTCAGGTTGAAATTTTTTTAAATGTATAAAATTTTCTTGTGCACATTTTTAAAAAGATGTCACCTGGGCCACCAAATTTTCTTTGCTTAGGGTCTCCTACTGCCTAATGCCGGCCCTGCTTCCAATGCATAGCTTTAGGAGCGCTTGGGGAATCGATGACTTTTGACGTTTCCGTAGGCCTGGATAAACAAGAAGTGCTTTAATCGTTTCCTTAAATGTTTGATAGCTGATTGTTGTCAAATGATGGCAGGCAAGCCATTTTGTAAAGAAGGTAAGTTTAACTCCATAGACAGATTTCCTATCAAACTGAAACAATCTCTCAGAAGACGCTATGAAGAAAATATCAGAAATCGTATATCAAAATCTGCGCTCAGACAAATTACTGATAGAGCAAATTTTGCAACTCTTTTTTGAGCTCTTTAAAGTAAAGTTAAAAATTACGAGGGAAGACCGTAGAAAAGAAAATTTCAGTAATCTAGACTGGGTAGTACAAGACATTGAACCAGTGAACCATTGAACCATTATATTAAGTAAAAAAATTACGAATATGACGAATACATCAAATATAATAGTTACAAAATTTGATCAAAGCTAAGACATGAGATTTAAAAGATAGAGAAAATTCAAAAGTCAAGCCTAAAAATTTAATTTTAGCGGTTGAAGGAAGAGAAGAATCAGCCAAGAGAACGTGTGATGAGGGTGAACATTTGATATGCTGTTGCGGAGTACCAAGAAACATTACTTCAGATTTGTAGGGATTTAGCTGAAAAAAGTTTGATAAATGTCAGTCATTTATGGCCACAGTACATGCATTAAAGTTGTCAAGCTAAAATATATGATTAGAGGTGGGAATTTTAGCTAGTAGACATGTGTCATCGGCGTATTGATGAAAAAGTAAGCCAAAGGTGTTAATGACATTAGAAATAGGAGAGGTGTAAATAGTAGAAAAAATGGGACCAAGGACAGATTCCGTGATGCCATACTTTGCCTCAAGTCTGTCAATAAGCATCTGTTGATTAACGGGATCCGCAGATCCAGGATGACCATTACAGAAATAATATTTCTTGTGAACGAATTAAAAATGAGAAATATTTAGAGATGAAATAATATGAGTAAGAATCCTGTTCAAGATTTTGCGTTCAAGTAATTTAGAAAAGGTTGAAAATGAGGCGGTAGTTAGACCGATCAAGATCAGGTCTTTTCAGTAAAATTTAGAGCTATCTTTAAAAAGGTGAGAAAATGCTGTTCAGGTTAAATTTGAGCTATCTTTAAAAAAATGCTGTTTTTTAGGGAAAGATTGCAGGGCTTAGATAATAATGGAGCATAAAAATGAGAACATTTTAAGAATAAAAACTGGCATAATGTCAAGTGGAGGTGTTCTGTTGGGTAAAGAGTAGATGAACTGTAAAACTTTTCCTGTAGTGACAATTGAAAAAGAAAAAAAAGGAGAGGAAGAAAGAGGTCTATGATTTGACGAAAAAAATAGTAAAAGAAGCAATAGATATAGGAATAGATGATAAATAGAATTTATTTTGTCTTGAAAATTTAGCAAAAGAAGATACAAGAGTGAGAGATTCAGCATCAGAAAAATGATGATCTGCTCGTTTGTAAAGAATGTTTTTAAGAGAATGCCAGAGATCACGAGAGCTGCTGCAGTCGCTGTGAGTGTTCTTAATAGAATCAATCCTAGACCTCATAAAAGCATCACGAGCAACACGGTTAGCATTTTTGCTGCTGCGAAGTTGTGCTCTGATTTTTCATATTTTTATTGACGCTCCACGCGGCGACAGTTTCTTTTAGTATCTATTGCTTCTCCGGATAAAGAGCAACGCGGGTGGGAGCTCTCACGAAGCGAATAATGCATTGTTGGCGTGTGTTTGTTGACGGTGTCCTATTAAAGTTGAGTTTAGAGCTGACGCAAACTCATCAACCTACAAATCTTGTGAAAGCAATTCATCAAATGATCCGTTTAAATCATTTTCAGACACATTGAATGTTGCTCTTTAATGCTTTTATTATAGTTTGTTTGTTAGTGTTATTATTTTTATTTTAACTGTCTTAATTTAATTTTAAATTTTCTAGAACGCTCCGACACAGAGCAAATATAAACACGCTCCAATTCACTCATCATCAGGACTAAGTGCCTTAACCGTTACACCATCTTGTCGCTTTTTTAAACTGGTTTTAAAATTATTTTTATCATAATATTTTCTGAATGAAATATTCGAATTAAAAGCTGAACGAAATCTAACCAGTTCTCGTGAGAAAGGGTTGTTCGTTTCCAAGCAGAATTCCATGCACATGCTCAATGTGATAGGAAAGTTATTTTTTAGTCTAACGGCTCTAACATTATCAAAATAGTTGTAGGTACCAAGGAGACCCAATTTATAAGGACGAATATTGACCGGTTGTACTGAAGGTTTAATAACAAAAAACGAACAATGTGATATTAATGGCAATTTCAAAAGTAGTTTTTTTTATCAAATATAGTTTTATTACACTCAACAAACAAAATGTATTTGCACCAACGCAAATTATTTTTTCAAATTTTTAAATCAAAATTATTTTATTTCAACAATGAAAAAAAGTATAGTGAGTGAGACAAAAAATGTTTTAAAAGTTAAGCGACAACATTTTTTCAAAAAACATTATTCAGCACCATCACACCACACCTTTCATGACTAATCTTGGAGTTAAACCGAAGCTTTTTTCAGGACAAGTGCCAGTGCACAAGCAGGGCATGACAGAAACGTGAACGGACCGAGTCAGTTGGCACATTTTAACGCTTCTGTTTGTCTTTAAAAGTAGAATTTACCATAATGCATCACCGTATCACGTAGTGCTGATGATAAAAATACAAAATGATAGACATCCAATTTTGACACCCTTTAAGCAACACACCCACACGCACAACAACTCACTCTCACACATATATACACACACACTCACTTACACACACACTCACTTACACACACACACACACTCACAAACACACACACACAAACACATAAAAAAACTGATAAAACTTTATTTGAATTACCATCATAAAACCATACCGAAAACGCGATATATTCATTGAATTTCCCTCCTTGGTTAAATACATTCGTGTAATTATCACATTGTAACAAATCACTATCGTTAAATTTTTTGGGTTTGAAAAAATTTTCGTGTAGCACAATGCATCCAACGTAATCTGGTATATTTGAAATTTTTTTTTATATATTTCCCAAATTAATCTTTATTTAAAAAAAAAACAAAATATCGTTAAAAATAAAATTTTATTCATTTTCGTTTGGAAATAAATGAACGTACTCATACTGTCATGTTTGACACACTTAACTTGTAACTGTGTCAATATTTAAGCATTTGCAAATTGATCGTAAGGAAATAAAAAGCGATGAAATTTTTTTAAAGGAAAATTTGATTTCAACAAATTTTCTAAGTTTAACCATGGAATTTTTTATTCAAATCAGCGGGTAGAAGCTTAATAAATTTTTGGGTTGTTCATAAGTCGTAAGTAAAATATACTAAATTGAAAGATATATAAAGATTTTTTACTGGTTGAATCTCCAAATTAAAATTTAATTAATACTACATTTAGAATTTGTCACGCCAAATAAGTTGTGCTGCCTTTTTAAGTTTTGAAGTTTTTCTTCTGGAATAAACGAATTCTTGGAATTAAAAAAAAGTTTTGAAATATATTTATAGCAAAAGTATTACAATAAAAGTTGATGGTTTCAGAAGGAATACCTGGATATTTCAATTTCAGCAAGGCATCCAGACAATGCAAGTGACCCAAGAAAACGAAATGAAGCAGTGGAAATTTATTATCCATTCTTCGAAGTTCAAATCTAGAGCATCTCACGTAATGAAAATTAATTCAATCGTAATAAAGTTTTGTTATTTTTAGCCAAAAAATCTTATTTATTTAATTAATATTATATGGAATTAATTTTAGGATGAAATCACTTACTAATAAACTATTAATCAAGATCAATTAATTATAAAATAATAATTTATTAGTCATTTAAAAGTATAAAAATTGTTTTAAATGATTAAATTATATAACAAAAACAAAATAAAACCAAAAAATTCAAAATTACTTAAGGCAAACAGAAACATATGACGTAGCAAAAAGCGAAAAAACACCAAAGATTACAAAAAGTTTGAAAAAAATTTCCTGAAAATTTTTAATCTATTTTTTATAAAATTACAAATTAAAAAACAAACCACCGGAAAAAACCAAAAAGCGAGATAAAAAGACATGGAACGTAAACATAACTTCTTGAAAAAAAATCTAGATAACAATAATTAAAATAGCGCTTAGAGATAGTTTAAAGGCAAGCTGCTAACAAGGAATCAAGTGTTCCGCGATAAACTATTCAAAATCAAGAACATCAAAGTACACAATCATTTAAATGCCAAAATGTATAGAAAAGGTTCTGGCCTACAAAATATGCTTCAACATAAACAACAGTTACAACCATGGATATGATATATATCTATTTCTCCATATGTATCCAATCATGGTTACAACTTGATCCTAGATTTAAATCTTTCAATTAAAGATACAAAAACGTGCAGGATAGAATTGTTAGAAAATTATTATTGTTAAATATTCACTCTTAAAACAATTCTCAAAAGCAGACGTAGCATGTGCTGAATTAAAGTTAAGCAGTTCATAATCAGATCAGAGGGTTCCAACTACGAAAGAAAGTTGACAACCACTAAAATTGAATAACTTCAAATGCAAATGTTCAACAATCCAGAAGACATGCGTGAAACCATCTAGTAAAAAGGCTAACCAATCAATATGACCAGAAAAATTGGATAACTAGATCAAATATTAAAAATAAAATTGACGAGAATGTGAGTAAACCTTTTTGCGATATCGTTTTGACTACAACGATTCTTCACTGTTGTTTGGTAAAATTTTGTATTTTCTTTAACACTACTTGCAATATTGCATTGTTGTATTTCATGTGGGAATAGCCCTACAAGCTATGCTTTGAGTTTAAATAGAAGGAGGATGGAAGCCTTATAATAAGCTTAATAAATATTGTTGTGATATATAGAATCACACCTTAGTTTTTATGTTATATCGTTTCAACTTTTTATTCAATTTTGAATTTTGTGGTTTCTTTATCATCTATCTCTCTTGCGAATTAATGTGCGTGTGTGTATGTGTGTGTGATGTGTGTGTGTGTCAAAAATTCAGTTAAATAAATTTCTTATAAATTTATAGCATTAAATCTTGCAACATTATTCTGGAATATTCAAAATCATTGTTTGTTTATTTTGAGCAAACCTTACTTCACAATGACATCACATGCTTGCGTTTCTCATTATATATATTTTTTTCCTTTTTGTGGTGATATACTAGAACAAATTTTTACCTGATTTTTCTTTAATATTTGTCGGCAGAGTTTTTTCTGTTCTGTTGACCAAAATCATTCAAAATCCAATAATTTTTATAACCTTATTAGGAGTTAAATGTTTTATCTACATGAAAAACAATTTCATTGTAATGTCGAGATAGTATAGGTATGTAAACAATCGACTATCATTAATAACAAACGTTTTTAGTTTCAGGAAAATAATAATAAAAAATTATTTTCAATTGAAACACATATAAATTAAAAAAATAATAAATCAATAATAATTTATAAGACTTCATATTAACTAGACAAATCCGACAATAATGAGCAAAATGCCGAAAGAACTGAGAGTAATCGAGCCATACCGCACCCGCTTCTCATCCAACCGCCACTCCAACGGAGCTGCACCCAGCTACGGAAACAGGGGGACAAAACTTTTGGAGGATTTGAAGTTTGAGCACCAGAGAGAGCTTGAAAGACAATCCCTAAAAAAATTTGATCTCTTCATCGGAGAGTTTGAACTGAAGTCTGTACTTCATAAAGGAAGTTTTGGAGTGGTGGGTTGGCTACATTCATATTCATATTTCACGGATTAACTCCTTCAAGTGAATAACAAATTACTGGCTTGTAAACTCGTTCTCACGTTTTCACAAATCAGGTTCTTCTAGTAAAGAAACAATCCGATAAAACTCTCTATGCCATAAAGCTGGTGAACATATCCAGATCGGATTACACGCAGATACTGAACGAGAAGTTAGTCTTGCAGAAAATATCAACCAAAGGGTGTTCATTTCTTGTGAAGGTTTTTGACTACATACTTGTCAATGTTAGATACTTTTTTTTTAAATTTTCATCTCTAATTTCTGATTATATATATATATATATATATATATTATATAAATTATATATATATCCGCCAAAAAAAAATTCCTCTTTTTAGAATTTCAAACTTTTGTTAAGCAGTTATGCGTGGAAATTATTTTTTAAAACACTTTTTTAGAAGATAGAAGTTTCAAACTAAATTCAGTTTGAATTTAACTCTTTTTTTCTATCCTCATCCGAATTAGGGTTACGTGGGATTCGTGATGGAGTACATCCCTTCGATATCCCTGGCCTCACAGGTAAACCTCGCAAAAAAGTTTTCAGAGGTCAAGGCGGTTTTTTATAGCGCTTGCATTCTGAGTGCATTGCAGTATCTCCACTCAATATACATCTTCCACAGGTTCGTCTTCTGGTTGGGCTTTTGGTTACTGATGCCAATCAACTAATTAACAAATCAAAACAAACACTTCAAACAATAATTTAATTTGTCGACCAACCAACCGACCGACTATCACACAAAAAATTCAATTGGCCAGCTAGACAACCAACCACACTCGCCGTTGAAACTATACAATGAGCCTTGGGCAGTTCCAACATTGGTACACTATGACTGAAATTTAAATTTTTAGTACTCTTTGAAAAAAAACCCTAATTTTTTTACTTGACATTGATGGTTTGTTTTTCATAAGCTAGGCCACTGCAACCAGAAAAGCAATCAATCATGAAAACAATCAATCAACTAGCTCATCAACCAATCACCCAATCAACCATTTAACCAACCAACCGACCATCCATTTAACTAACTAGCCAACCAACTAGTCAATAACCAACCTTTCAACACACGATTCAACCAACCGACCATTCTAGCAACCAATTAACCAACCCACACAGAGACATAACACTGCGGAATATACTGGTAGATGGATCGGGATACATCAAGCTGGTGGATTTTGGTGTGAGCCAGTATAGGCCACCTGATAGACTATCAACTGGTCAATTTAATAATTAGTTATTCACTCACTCACTCACTCACTCACTCACTCACTCACTCACTCACTCACTCACTCACTCACTCATTAATTCAATCAGGTCGTAGATCAACTTTAAAGATGGACCAGCTGATCGACTTCGAGGACCTTGGAAGGTGCACATGGGAACTACTGACAGGGGAGGTAACTTTTTCAAAATCACAACTGAACCTCGCAGTGACCGGGTTCGATTCCAGTCTGTCGCATCCAATTTGTGTGATGCTTAGTTTTAGACGGATTTGCGTGTTGTCGAAAGTTTTATAATTTTGATCGAACAAAAGTTAATTACGAATAACTATAATAACAATTATGTTCATTATCCAATCCAATTATCCAATTATTATTGGATTGAAATTAATTTTTTTCTCAAATTAATCTACGACTGATGGAAATAATTTCAATGGCGAAAGTTCGTGATGACCGCGCCTGATTATTCGAGGAAAAACTCTTCACTGTCGAGCAATTCTTTGAAGTACTTCGAGTTGGTTGGTAATTTCTAAATTCGGATGAATGAATGAATGAACGAACGAATGAATGAATGAACGAGTGAATAAATGGATAAAGAAATTAATGGATGAATAAATTAATCGACTGAATTGAAATGAAATAATATATAATTTTTAAATGATTGATAAATAGAATAAAATTGAACAACACCCAATAAGATCTTTCCAAAGCATAGAGTCACTACGTTGGCCTCATCAGAAAACATGATTTCAGCCCTACTTGTCCACCCGTTCTACAAAGTTTACTCAAAATTACGTCTCTTTAAACATTATTTATCCATCATTATGCAACCTTAACATACGCAGAACTACTTGCGTACCATCCCACATATATGCAAAAACACCGAACGCCTATGGTAATTTGTAAGTTTGAAAGATAGACAGTATTCGAACCAGGCTATCGTGCTATAGCAACGCGAGACACGGCACTTCTACCGACTGAGCTAACTCGCCGAACATTAACTTATTCATCAATTCATCATCCAAACTAAGAGCAAAACTAATCTTTTATTACAATTTTTCAGACTATAAACTGGGATGATCTTAAAACTAGGAAGATCAAACCTCCGTTCGTATTGAAAATACAGGTCGACTTTTTTCACATTTCAACAAATTAATTTTCATTATCCTCCATATATAACTCAACAGGAAAAAACTATAAGATTTTCACAGTTCCCTTGTCAAATCTCCTTACATTGAAACAGTTAATTCAGATGCAGCGCAAAGTTCTTAATATACTAAGTAACAAAAGTAACCTAACCTTAATCTGGATCCCTAGTCGCATTGGAATCGAAGGTACCGAAAGAGTAGATCAATTACCATCACGTGCTCACTTGAACTCTCCATCGACCCTTCTAAAACCACATCACAACATAAGAGTGAAGACAAACGACCTTACATATGAAAAATGGCAAAAGGAATGGAACAAGATAGCATTTTTCTCAAAGAAGTTTTGAGAATTGAAAAAAAAAGTTTTGAAAATCGATAGCCCAAATTGAAAAAATCCAAAAATGGCAAAACCAATGAGCTAAGTCAAATTAACCTAAACACGATAAATAGATCAAAAATCGGTCATACCAAAATTACCAATTCATGAGTGTTAAACAAAGCAAGACCTCCACTTTGTGAGAAAAGTATAGAAAGCTAATAATCCAACACATGCTAATAGTAGAATGTCAAACATATCAGGAAATCATGGAAAATAACAACCAGAATAATAAAAGAATAATGAAAAATAACAACCAGAAAATATACACTCAATTTTATAAAATAAATACGTTGTAAGCTTAGTGGAGGTAAGATGGTTAACATTCGAGAAGATAAACATTTTCAACAACATTTAATTGCCCAGCCAGCTTTTCAAAAGATTCACAAAGAAAGACCAAAGACGTAAATATAGCCTCTTGGTGCTAAAACGCAGTAAAACTGCAGATGGAGAGGAAATTAATTTTGGAATATTCTCTCATTTAAATTTATATTTATTCATTCATTTATTAATAACATCTGATGTCAATAAATTATTTTTTCTAATTAAAATTATAACTGTCATTATTATTATTATTATTATTATTATTACACAACATTTTTATACGGTTTCATATTTAGTTGATTGGTTGGGAAGCATATTTTTGCTTTTTCGCAATCTAGTATAGTATGATATTATGATAGTATATCACGATAGTATCATGATAGTATCATGTTATGATAGTTTGATAATATCATAATAGTATCATGTTATGATAGTATCCTGTTATGATAGTTTGATAATAACGTAATAGTATCATGTTATGATAGTATCATGTTGTGATAGTTTGATATTACGATTGTATTATGATATAAATAATGTTATAAATAATAATTACAATTATATATAAAGATTATTCACAGAAAATTATTATACTCATTAAACTTGCTTATCTATTTGTTCATTTATTCATCATCTATTACCATTCTCTCTCTCTCTTTAAAATTTTCAAAGGTATCAGCAAAAAACACACAGTGCCTGGATATAAACACATGTGAAACAACGTATCACACACACAGTGCACGTGATGAGCGGGGATCTCTTTGTAATCGAACGCGGTCACAGTATTAGTAGTGCCAGGCACTTTACCGCTACACCATCGAGCTGGCCTTTATTATAATTTGTTAACTTCTTATATTTGATGGAATTATTATTTTCAAATGAAGCCCGAAATAGAAAATCCGACTTCTGCCTGGAATGAGGTGAACAATTTCTTGGGCGAACCGTATGAAAACCTCTCTGACCATTTCCGGAGCGTTCATCAGTGGCGGAGTGAGAAACACAAGAATAGTAAATAACCATTTTGAGTTATTGTTAAATGAAGGAGTGAAGAATGAGTGTTGAATGAGTGAGAGTGAGTGAGTGATTTAATGATGAATGAGTGAGTGAGTGAGTGAGTGAGTGAGTGAGTGAGTGAGTGAAAGTCAGTGAATGAATGAATGAGTGAGTAAATTAATGAGAAAATGAATGAATGAGCGAATTACCGAACAGATAAATCACAGAATATGAATGATTGAATGAATGAATGAATGATTAATTGAGTAAATGAAAAAATGAACATATGAATTTTTGGACGGTTTTGGGAAGATGAATTAATAGATTTAAGTACAATTTTGACATAAATATTTGCATAATGTCAAACTATATCTAATACTCTGACTTTTTACAATTTAAATCTTTATTTAAATTCATTCTTCGACATTCAAAACACTATTTTATATTGTTTTTTTTTTAAAAAAGAGAATTATTTTTTATTGATAAAAATTTTTCTTTACAAATTAACTAACAAACTAATAAATAATTAAAATCAACCACTTAATCACCGAAAATGATTTTCATTCATTACCAGTATCTCCAATTTTTCTCAACGTAAAAAGTTTTGTAGTAAAATTTTTGATAATTTAGCCAGCGTATGCTTTTTAAATACTTTTCATACTTTAAAATACAGTTTCTAAACACAAAAAACACCGTTATAAATAAGAAAAATTTACACAAAATTGTGCGGCAAGAGAAAAAGATCTCCAGGCAAAGTATTTCTAGCTTTTGCCAACGGTCAATGTTTTCTAGATGCACCCTAGCTAGAAAATTTTGCGAATGTTTGTATGAGTGTGTGAGTGAGTGAGTGAAAGAGTGAGTGAGTGAGTGAGTGAGTTTCTAAAAAGTTCCTCTCGTTGACGTGACGTTTTGAAATGAATTTGATCATTTTCTGGGCAGGCACTTCCATTAGTCTCGTCTTTTATTTGAGATGGGTGAGTGTTTCAATAGTCTTGATATATTAAAAACATTGAAAAGATAACAAAGTTAAGAAAGATACGTTTTTGTTTTAGGCATTAAACAAGAAGTTGAAGTGAACTCGGCTCATCGTGTTTGCTCACCGATTTAACTTAAAAGGTCATTATTATATGATTTAAAAAATTAAAATTCCAAGGTTAATAATACTGTCTAATTCACGAAGGGATTTCGTTGATCCAAATTTCGGTGCCGTTGGAGTGAAGCGTAACAAATTTTGTGGTACATCAACGATTTGTGGCTGAGCCTCGTACAAAGTAGCACAGAGCACACCCGAACTTACCTCATTAATATTCACGAGTCACGTGATTATCTGTACGAAGGCACGTGAAACTCGATTCAAATAGTGCTGAATAAATTGAATTTTTTTAAATTTAATGTGGCACTGCAATTGACAACTTTACAGTTTAGAAAAACAGTTACATTTTAATCTGTCTTCATATGGCATACCGCGACACTCCTTCATCATTCTCGTTGCCCTCCTTTGAATATTCTCGAGCATATGTTGTCCTTTTGTAAATCTGTATTCCAAAACTGAACACAGTACTCCAACTTAGGTCGAACAAATGCTTTATATAGGTCCAACATGACGATCATATCTCTGCTTTTTACTGATCTTTTTACCGTACCCAAAGTCCTCTTTGCACTTTTAGCTGCCTCGATGCATTGCCGTGCTACCTTACCGTTCCGATGAATTATCACCCCCAGATCCTTTTTCTCCTCTACAGTTTTTAGTGGCGTGTCTCCAAGTTTGAATACGTTTGCCTCGTTGTTCGCTCCCATGTGTGTCTGTGCACATTAGTTAGTGTTGAATACCATCTGCCAATCCTCTGCCCATTTGCATATTTCTTGCAAATCGCATGCTAGAATTTCCATATCTTGTCTACAACAGCACATAATTTAGCGTCATTGGCAAATTTTGAAATTTTTGACTTTTTTCCTAGATCAATATCATTGATGTACATCACAAATAGCAAAGGTCCTAATACGGATCTTTTAAGAATCCCACTTGTAACATTGCTCCAGTTTGAGAGACTTCCTTCAATACCATCTTTTTTTTTGCTGTCTATCTTGTAACCAGTTAGAAATCCACTTGAGTATTTCCCTGTAATTTCTCTTGCCTCTAATGTTAAGGCCAAACTTTTATGCGGTACCTTATCGAAAGCCTTAGCAAAATCTAAGTACACAATATCCACTGCCATTTATTGTCCAAATTTTCATAAACCTCATCATAAAGTCAAGTAAATTTGTTGGGCACAAACGCTTATTGATAAACGCGTGCTGGCTTTTGTAGGTATATGATATTGTGTTTGCCAAGTGGTTCACAATTGTCTTCTTAATTACACCTTCTAGTACCTTGCATACAAAGCTCGTAAGGCTAATTGATCTATGATAGATTTTATTGTGTTAAATTTGAAGGAATGTAATAGATCTTGTAATAGATTGTATTGTGTTACAATGAGTTATTTATATCATATATATTACATACTACGTATAAAATGTTGAAAAACATCAAATAATATTTTAAATTTTATTCAAATAAATGAATTTAAACGCAAATAATAACGATATATATACATATTAAATAATCCATAAAAGAATATTGTACAATTTTTTTTCAAAAATATGAAAATTATTGTTTAAAATATTCATCAAGTTATAAACTATCCAGCTTACAATGTGACAAATTTATATGAGCTATATCGGCACTAGTTAATTTAATCGATTTCACCAAATCTAACTACGCAAAACTTTGATATATCAAATATCGTTATATCAGGCCTCGATATATCATACTTCGATATACAAAATTAGATATCCATCATCACTGTGTCACCATAAAATAATTACCTCATCTTCTGCACCATTACATCTTAATCGTTACACCATTAAATCAAATTTCTGACGTATAATTTTGTTTAAAAAAATTCGTTAAATCGAACTTTGCTATATTAAAGCGGAGATGTTATTTAGTTGCATGGATTACGAGAGGAATATAAATAAACTGTAAAATTTAAACAAAAATTTCTAAAATTAGCTTTGTAAAAAAATAACTTCGCGATCAGTTTTTCAAATTCAGTTATAATCAAACTTGAAAAAAAAGAAGAATAATGAGTTTAAGACATGCTACGATCAAAGTTTGATCGTAGCATGTCTTAGTGGGAACCTAGACAAGAGAACGATATAAATTCGTTATTTGCATAGCAATACCCATACATACATAAAAATATAGCTTATCATTTTAATTATCATTATAATAATAATAATAATTATTATAGTTTATGTATTATATTCACGCCTCCAATGGATATTCCCGGTAGATTTTCTATCTTTCTCATGATGATCTCACTATAGAGATTGTACAGGTCTGGAGAGAATACACAGCCTTGCCTAACACCTTTCTTTATTTTATAATTTTTATTTTCGAAATAAAGATACACATCGCGTACGTTAATACGTGCTACTATGAAATGCAGCACACGAAGCATGTGTATTCGAATCTGGTCACTGCATACTGTGCGAGCCAAGCACATACATGAGGATCACGAACCAACAAGACATCAAGAAAAAAGAACCGACCTTGACTTTAAAAAAACTTTTTAAATTAATTTCATTGAGATATCAAACTTTGTAACACACTTTTGACCGAATTAATTAATTCACACTAAAAAAAATTTAATTATTTGCTATAGCGATAAAATTGCGTTACATGATTCCACAAAAAGATATCGATATGTATTCAGCTCTTGATTTTAGTAAGGTGTGTTCTCAAATTGTTTTGAGCTCTCTTTCTCTCTCTCTCTTTCTTTCTCTCTCTCTCTCTCTCTCTCTCTCTCTCTCTCTCTCTCTCTCTCTCTCTCTCTCTCTCTCTCTCTCTCTCTCTCTCTCTCTCTCTCTCTCTCTCTCTCTCTATCTTTCTCGCACGATGATAATCATGATTCTACAAAAACATTGCGTTACTAATCATGTTTCTACAAGAAGGTATCGATATGTATTCAGATCAGAGCTAAAAGTAAGAAAGGTGTGGCCTCAAGTTCTATCCCTCTTAGTGGAAATTGAACTGTTCATACAGGTAGCAATAATAAACGCATATAACAAAAAAATATACATAAAGCATATACTTATAATATTTAAAGTAGCAACTATTACTGTTATTTCAATAATAAATTTAATAAATAAACATAAAAAAATTAGATTATAAATTATATATGTTTTATATGTTTTTATAAAGAACTAAATATAGAATTACCAACCAGCCAATCAGAAAGCTTCGAAGGCGTTACTTACCGACGTTAATTAAGTCTGGCTAGCATTGTCGTCAAGACTGTATAGTAGTGTATTACATACATGAAATAAACATTCTACTGATGTGAATGGTTGAAATGATGAGGATGTATGGCTGAAACGAGTATAAATAGGAGCTGAAAAAGCATTGAAACCAGATCAGGCACTTTTGCCTCGCATGCTCGCTTGAGCCAGAAATGCCTGATCTCATATGGTATAGAGGTATATTTTTAGGTATATAGAGGTATATTGATGTATATAGAGGTATATTGATGTATATAGAGTTATATTGAGGTATATAGAGGTATATTGATGTATATAGAGGTATATTGATGTATATAGAGGTATATTGATGTATATAGAGGTATATTGAGATATATTGAGGTATATTGAGGTATATTGAGGTATATCGAGGTATACTGAGGTATATCTTCGCATTTTTTCTTTTTTGCGATTCTATCTTTGCGGTTCGTTCTTTGCGGTTCTTTTCTTTGCCAGCCAGCTAGCTGGCGTTTTTCACCACGGCTCGTTTTTAATTTTCATTGATGACTAAATGAATAGTTTTTTTTTCATTCAGGAGACGCTCAAGAATTTGCATCAGTATCAGTATCGAAGTTTTCACAGAACCTCCCGGAAAGACCTCAGTACCATGCAGATTGTCGATCAGTGATGGGACCATTCTTCAACTGCACAGCAAGTCAGACCTTGGACGCCGGCATCTGTGGAGGAGTTCATTATGGAGTCGAATCTTTATTAGTAAACAATAATTATAATAATTAAATGATATTTTTCTCATTCAGGAATGCCCAAGAATTTGCATCAGTATCAGTATTGAAGTTTTTACAGAACCTCCCGGAAAGACCTCAGTACCATGCAGATTGTCGATCAGTGATGGGACCATTCTTCAACTGCACAGCAAGTCAGACCTTGGACGCCGGCATCTGTGGAGGAGTTCATTATGGAGTCTCTTTATTAGTAAATAATTATAATAATTAAATGATATTGAGGTATATTGAGGTATATTGAGGTATATCTTTGCTTTTTTCTTTTTTGCGATTCTTTCTTTGCGGTTCGTTCTTTGCGGTTCTTTTCTTTGCCAGCTAGCTAGCTGGCGTTTTTCACCACGGCTCGTTTTTAATTTTCATTGATGACTAAATGGATAGTTTTTTTTCATTCAGGAATGCCCAAGAATTTGCATCAGTATCAGTATCGAAGTTTTCACAGAACCTCCCGGAAAGACCTCAGTACCATACAGATTGTCGATCAGTGATGGGACCATTCTTCAACTGCACAGCAAGTCAGACCTTGGACGCCGGCATCTGTGGAGGAGTTCATTATGGAGTCGAATCTTTATTAGTAAACAATAATTGTAATAATTAAATGATATTTTTCTCATTCAGGAATGCCCAAGAATTTGCATCAGTATCAGTATTGAAGTTTTTACAGAACCTCCCGGAAAGACTTCAGTACCATGCAGATTGTCGATCAGTGATGGGACCATTCTTCAACTGCACAGCAAGTCAGACCTTGGACGCCGGCACCTGTGGAGGAGTTCATTATGGAGTAGAATCTTCCATTAGTAAATAATTAAATGTATAATTTTTTTTTATTCAGGGATGCCTAAGAATTTGCATCAGTATCAGTATTGAATTTTTTACAGAACCTCCCGGAAAGACCTCAGTACGATGCATCTGTGGAGGAGTTCATTATGGAGTCGGATTTTCTGTTTTACTTTTTCTTTTTATTTAACACACACACCCACGCACACATTACATTTAGTTTTGTTAGGTAAGTTAGATAGGTATAATTTTAATTGTAGGTAGGATAGATAGAAAACATACAACATTAACGTAGTTGATTAGGTAAGTTTTGCCTCTTCTATTCTTTCTTGCATTTGCGTTAAGATTGTCTATTGAGTTTTATTAGGTAGGTACGGTAGTTGAAGGACCATGGATTTCAAAGTCCGTTGTACGGCGACAAGCGTTGTTGGCCAGTGGTGTACCGGCAATGGTTTACTATCCGGTACGGCAATGGTTGACTACCCGGTACAATGGCTGTCGGTGAACCGCTGTGCAAGGGAGGGAGAATGAAGGGGTCTTTCAACTACCGTACCAAACACACATGCATCACATTTTATTGAGCGTAATTTTATTTTCACAACACATTATTTTATTATTACTAAGGTTGAGAGTAATTTAATGTCGTAGGTAGTTAAGGGCTATAATTTAATGATAGGAACGATGTAAGTGTATCAATAGGTAGGCTTATTATTAAGTTTAACATTATTATTATTAGGTTGGAGCATGGGCTCTGAGTTTTGTAATTCTTTAAGGCTAGGGCAATTGTAGTGAATAGGTAAGTTAAGGCTTCGGTAGTCGATTGACTCTGATTTCGAAGTCCGTTGTACAGGTGAGCTTCGAATCCTCAAGCAACGTACTGTTTGGCGGCTGGCGGCACGATACATCGCTTACGAGGCTCATGTCCGTAGCGTGACCAGGTCCACAGCCAATACTCAGTGCACCGCATGGTATCGGCGACACCCTGGGCAAGAGAGGGAGATTGAAGAGGGATATCGACTACCTTAGCATCATACACATTTAGATTTTAAGATATAAGTTTAGTTAAGTAAATTGAATAGGTAGATAAGATTATTTTTATTATAGGTTAAGTGATTTGAGATGCAGGACGCTAAGCTTTCTGATGAGAATCTTCTCTTTCTCTATCTACTTTATCTTGCAACCATTCGTCGGTACGGATCGTGTTTCAAGGACAATTTTGTCGGAAATATCAATGGACTTTCAATGGAACTAAGGTACGTCAATTTCGTTATTATTATTATTATTATAAAAAATAAACGAAATAAATGAAAAGGTAAATTAAAATGAAAAAATACTATCATTGAAAAAATTGAAAAAATTATTATTTTTTTAAATATTTATCATTCTGAAGATGATGGATCCTGATAGTTTGGATGATGAGCAATCTCGTCGGAAATATCAATGGACTTTCAATGGAACGAAGGTACGTTGACTTCGTCAAACATGCCATTAAAAATATTTGTTTTTATTTTTTAAACTTTAAAAAATGCAGTGGCGGATAAAGACAACTTGGAGGAGGAAGGATGGCAAACTTTCCAAAATGAGACCGGGTGGTGGGTGGGAATTTCCATAAACAATTGATTGATTGATATTTGAGGTACATACAGTAGTCATTAGTTGCTGTATTCTTTTCATGATGATTTGTAATTTTTCACATGAAGAAACCTGTTAATGTTTCGATGGATTGGAGGATGATCGATCGCCACGCAAAATGAAATGATAGTATTTTTTCATTTTAATTTACCTTTTCATTTATTTCGTTTATTTTTTTGTCATTGTTTTTATTTTGTCATTGTTTTTTTATATTTTTTCTGCTTCTTTTAGTGAGGGATGATTAAGCAACATAAGTAAGTTAGGGACTGAGCCGAGTTAATTGAACATAGGTAAGTTAGGGACTGAGCCAAGTTAATTGAACATAGGTAAGTTAGGAACTGAGCCGAGTTAATTGAACATAGGTAAGTTAGGGACTGAGCCGAGTTAATTGAACATAGGTAAGTTAGGGACTGAGCCGAGTTAATTGAACATAGGTAAGTTAGGGACTGAGCCGAGTTAATTGAACATAGGTAAGTTAGGGACTGAGCCGAGTTAATTGAACGTAAGTAGGTAGCTCTCTATTTTCTTTTTCCACTTCTTTTAATGGGATGTGTAATTTTTTTTTCATTCAGTTAATTTTCATATTGAACTAAGTTTTTGCAGATTGTTCAACGAGGGAAGGCTTCTGGATCTGGATCATGAGACCGGGTGGTGGGTGGGAATTTTCATAAACGATTGATTGATTGATATTTGAGGTACATACACTAGTAATGACTAGTTGCTGAATTCTTTTCATGATGATTTGTAATTTTTCACAGAAAAAAACCTCTTTAAAATGCTAAGATGGATTGGAGGATGATCGATCGCCACGCAAAAAGAAGTATTTTTTCATTTTAATTTACCTTTACATTTTTCTGTTTTTATTTTCGCTTCTAGTTATTTTTCATATCGATTTAAATTTTTTGCAGATTGTTCAACAAGTGAAGGCTTCGGCATCAATTTGAAACAGAAACAGCAGCAACAACATCAGGCGCAACAACAACGAAAGAAACAAGACCGACGTCAACCACATCGGAACCAATAACCCAACAATGCAGAAAGGGGATGCGAATAACATTTAACAAAAGAAATGAATATTTTTATTTTTACACGGCTCCGCCTTTTGTGGTGGAGTATTGTAGGGATCAAACATTCATCTGTTAACTATCTTATATATTAATTATTATTAAAGATTATTGCAATTTTTAATGTTACCTAATCTATGTTAATTTTTATTTCTTTGCTTCTCTCTCGATCTTTCTTTTTTCTGAGTACCTATAAATGAGACGGTTCGAGATTCACGTTAAAATAAAGTTATTTTTTTTACGCCTGAATTGTGTTTGTTTTGTTTATTTTACTTCACAACAAGTAGTATTACAATTACAATTACAACCTAACATTTACATCTCATCTCACGTTACTGTGTATTACAATCTAATGCTAGACAGTTTTCAAAATTTAAAGTTTACAATTGTTTCGAAGTTATTAAAATCTAAAACAATAAGTTTAGAAGCAAGTAGTTCTAAGCCTATTCTACTCTATTCGATTCTAAGTATATATGTTCGTAAATTTTCTAAAATCTAAATTTAAGCATTCTGTAATAAGAAGCAACGTCCTTCTTTCCATTCAACCTAGGAGAACCGTTCGGTTAACTGTCACGAAAAATTATTTTTAATTATTTTCTAATTGATATGTTTATTCATACAAGCTCTTATAAAATAATTCATCACCATTTCTAAACAACTGTTACTAACATTTAATAAAATCAATGAAGCATTTATGCCATTGACATTGTTTACTGTTTTATTGCCAAATATTGTTCACATTTTTGTTTTTTCCATTTCTTTTAACTTTTTTTACCACTGAAATTTAAAACAAACAATAAAAAACAAACGAACTTCCGTATACACTGTTTCGCCACATTCCCCCACAAATTTCTCGTTGATTGCCGTCACATGGAAAGCAACAAGTGGATGGTTCACAGAGTTGATATTTTCCGTATGTGTTGGAACAGTAACACTCTCTATATAACTAAAGTTTCGTTAAATCTAAGTGTTAATATTGTTCGTTGGCTAATTATTGTGTTTTAAGTATTGATATATTCGCGAACCCACACAATTTTTTTTCTAGAGTATGTCATACAGCAGGGGGATTTGGGCCTAACCCTAACCCTAAATCCTCCACAATGAATAAATTTTATCAAATTTATTCCCCACAACAAATTTTTCGCTAAGCCATTCTCATACTAGAAATTTTTTCATGACGGTAAAAGTTTGGATTGAAAAATTTCAAAAAACGAAAGATACCAGGATATGTTTTCAAAGAATATTATTTTGATTGGTTTATTCAATATAATTTAAATTATAGATGAAATTTTCAATAACGTATTTAAATCAACTCAACTTGTAGTCCAAAAATGTTTTTGTCAATCGAACAAAAGTTTCTGCAGACTTCAATTGTCATGCTGATACTGATACCTGTCGAAGCTCTAATTTCAAGATATTCGCCCAATCGACGAAAAATCCAATGTAATAGTGAGACATCTCTTCAAATAAAATTAATTTTTTATTAATTCAGTTTTAGAATATTTGACATTTATACATTTTATTAGATTAAGAATAAAAATCATTTAAGTAATTCTGAAAATGTTTACTCTGCTCAGATCAGAAACTTTGTTACTTTGTTTGTACAGAAAATTGTTAACTTTGTAACGGTGCATTCCCGCAATACATTTGGCTAAACTAATAAAGCTAAAGCTATAAATAAAGCTCCTCCATCTTGTTAATTAATAAAGATTGGCATATTTCAAATTGTATTTTGTAATTTTAATAAATAAGCAAGGCAATTTCTTCTCAAAATTTTAAAAATTATGTTAAATAGTAAATAATATAATGGTAGATAGTAACCAAAATACTGTGTTCCATTAAACATTGTATTCCATAATGAACATATATATATATATATATATATATATATATATATATATATATATATACATATACTATAGATAAAGAATAATAAAGTAGATATAATAATAAAGATATAGTAATAGAGATATAGTATGTATATATATATATATATATATATATATATATATATATAGAGAGAGAGAGAGAGAGAGAGAGAGAGAGAGATGGAGAGAGAGAAAATAAAATATATTCAACAAATTTATTTAACGAGAATCAACTGAATATGTTGATACCGGTTTTAGATATGATACGTCATGTGCATACATATTTGTAGAAGTATATATGTATTGATTTGTGTAGAGCATAATTGCATGTGCCCGCTGCTATCAAGAATCTTAACTGTATAATAATCATTCACTCATTAATTCAATCACACATACTTTTACTAATTTTTTTAATTCTTTATTCATTCACTCATTAATTCACCTGCACATTCATCCACTCATTCGTTCAGTCACTCATTCACTCACTCATTCATTCATCCACTCATTCGTTCAGTCATTCATTCATCCACTCATTCGTTCAGTCACTCATTCACTCATTCATTCATCCACTCATTCGTTCAGTCACTCATTCACTCATTCATTCATCCACTCATTCACTCACTCACTCATTCATTCATCCACTCATTCACTCACTCACTCATTCATTCATCCACTCATTCGTTCAGTCACTCATTCAGTCACTCATTCATTCATCCACTCATTTATTCATTCATTTATCCACTCATTTATTCTTTCAATCAATCAATCACTTATTCATTTATTTCATCTGCAGTCGGAGCCCTGACATTTTCATTCCTATGCGTCCTGGGGTCTTCATTGTTTGCCCTGGGCACGCATTTGAGAGGGACGGCCGCCCTTCTACCTGTCATGTTACTGGGCAGGTTGTTGTTTGGGGCGGGCAATGGATCTCTTACAAGTTTGTAGGGGGGCATCAGTAATTTGGTTCTTATAAATGTGGGCTTGTATGTGCTAAATTCGATTATGGTCATCCTGTGCTCTTATAACTTTCCAATTTGACAAGGGAATAAGATTCCATTTCATTTTATCAAAAGAAGCATGTGTGTGCATGTGAATGTACGTGTGAAAGTAATGAACGTGTGTGAAGATTGTTTTTTTTTTCTAAAGTATGTGTACACAATAATGAATCGGTTGAGTGTACTTCAATAGCTAATACATATGTTGCTAGTACAGTACAAGTTACGTTGTATTAAAAAAAATGTGATAAATGATAATTTATAATAAAAAATAATAAATATAGAAAAAAAATCACTAAAATATTTTAGTAACTTTGTAAGTATGCCACCATCCACACACACACACATTTACCGTATCACCATATCCAGTTGTGCAAACTCGTCTGTCTGCCATCTGGTTCAAAGATAAAGAGCTTGCAATGGCATTCGGAGTGACCTTGGCATTCTCAAGGTTAGAATTGAAGTGTGTGCGTGTGTTTACTTGTATATATATGATTCTACTAGTTTGTGTATGTGTGTGTAAGTATGTGTATTGATGTGTGTGTGTACTTGAACGCATATGATTCTAAATGTTGGTGTTTATGCGTGTGTGCGTGTGGTGTGCGTGTGTGTGTGGTGTGCGTGTGTTTGTATATCTTTATATTTAATTTAATGGATTTTGTAATGATTAATCATGACCGTTTTTATAAATAATTATAAATAAATATGTATACTTGTATGTGTTTTTTTTTGTGTTCATAGATATTCAGTCCATGTAGAAAGTTATGTTGTTTTAATAATTTAAAAAAATTTAATATGTATTAATGAATGGATTGAGTGGGTGTTGTAAAATTCTGGGTATGATTCGCAAAAAGTTGATGGCAAAGAAAACAACGTCCTACCTCGGGAAACCGGGACTCTGGACGCAAAACGAAGAATGATTGATTGATTGAGTGGGTGTTGTAATAGCGTGCTGAAATCTATTATAACATTCTTACAATATTAATGATGGTAATGTTCGTTGCTGGTTCCACTGAACTATACATGATTGCAGGCTGGGCAGTGTTCTCAACTTCCTGGTCACCGTCAGCTTTGCCGATCGATTTGGTCTTTCGTGGACTTTGTGGGGAGGTGCGTGAGCTGGATGTCGGGAAAATTGCACGATGGGATATTTATTTTTCAAACAAATTCACAGACGTTTTCGCACGTGTCATACGAACGAACACACTTTTTAAAAAATTCAAGTAGACATTATTATTTTTAAAATCTACCGATATAAAACTTATGTTTAAAAAAACCAACACAGATGTATACAAACCAACACAAATGTATACAAACAAACACAGATGTATACAAACAAACACAAATGTATACAAACCAACACAGATGTATACAAACAAACATAAATGTACAAACGCACCAGGAGCCATGCTGTGCTGCCTCGGACTTGTGGCAGCTATCCTGGTCGGAATCCTTGATAGGATCGGTCTCAAACAATTGGGAATGGAGGAAACGAGCAATCAGGATGCTAAGAAGCTGGTTTGTGTAATAATTATTTAGTTAAATAATTAATTGATTATGATAATTAATTAATTATGATAGAACACATAATTAATTCTCCATCCAGAAATTCACAGACATCAAGCACTTCAACTTGCTCTATTGGTTGATAGATCTGAGCATCATGTTCTTCTACAATGGTGTCTTTCCTTTTGTGGCTGATGCGAGGTGATGATGGTAATGTGAAGAAGATTATGATTTCATGATAAATAGATGTTGATGCTGATATTAGTGGGTCAAAAAATGAAAATTTCTTGATTGAACGATAGATTGATTGATTGATTGATTGATTGATTGATTGATTGATTGATTGATTGATTGATTGATTGATTGATTGATTGATTGATTGATTGATTGATCGATCGATCGATCGATCGATCGATCATTATCTGCATAGCATCGGTGTAACCTCATTCAACATCCATCCACCCCGCCACTCAGTAAGTTCATCCAAGACAAATATGGGTACAACCAGAAAGATGCATCATACGTGTCAGGGGCGGTCTACTACCTTTCCATGGTCCTATCACCCTTCCTTGGATATGTTGTTGTCAGTTTTTGGCCGTTTGTTAATATTTTTTTGCTTCGATTGTGTGATAATGTGAATCAAATTGTCTATTCGATGGTAATGGCCGTCTCTAATGTTAAGTTTGAGAAACTAAATGAGAAAAAAAAACTTCGAGATTTTATTTAATTTGAATTGAAAATTTCATTCAAAAATAAGATGGTGCTATATTTGCTTGCACTGCACGCCGGCAAGTGCGTAGCCTTCCATATTTTTTTGTTCTTGTCCGTAATTTCGAAATGGATTAGTGGAAATTTGATCTCTAGGACATCATAGGGAAGAGAGAGGCTTTAACTTTTGCCTGCGCCATCCTCACCACCCCCGTCTTCATCCTCCCGGCAGTCACTGATCTCTTCCCCATCATCCTCACTCTCTGGTTGGGTCTCACGTACTCCCTCGCTGCGGTTGGTTGGCTATTTTTTTAAAGCAGTTATGTGATTGGTCGTTTATTTGGATGGTGTAATATGATTGGCTGTTGTGTTGTTATCTTACAGATGTAGGTTTTTGTTCTTCGGCTGTATTATTTCAGTACATATAGTTAATTCTAAAACATTGCAAAGTATTTATAATAAATGATTTTTTATATAAACTTTAATGACTTGCATGATTTTTACAGCCAATTTTTAATAAGCTAATTTGTCTTAATTAATTATCGAAAAATTGTTCCATTGAATATTTTCAGTCACAATATTATTACGCCAAAATAAATTTGTTCACAAGTTTAAACAATGAAACGAGAAAAGAAAATGTTTAAGATCTTATTCAAATTGAATTAAATTCATTTGTTGGCGGTTTAATTATTTGCCGCCTGCACTTACACGCAGGCGAGTATGTGGCCCTCTATTCCATTGGTTGTCATGCAGTCAGCCGTAGGCACAGCTATGGGACTTGTTACTTCAATTCAGATGATTGGTTCGTCTCATTTAACGAGAATGGCGATTGGTCACATTTTATAATTCCTATTATAATTCCCGGCGTTAGATAGTAAATAATAAGTGATATTTTTAAATTTAAATACGCATTTGTTGAGTATTTTCCAGATAATTTATTACATTGAAATATTTCCATTTGGACATTTCTTTCTCTTTGTCATTGCTTGTAGCGATTCATCTAACCTTTTCATTATCATGCATTTCTAATCATTTCATTAACAAAGGCATTGGACTGTCAAACATCATTGTGGGGGCCATCCTAGAAACAAAAGATCAAAACAAGTGATCGATTTTTTACATATTCCTTTTGCTAGTTTATTCAAATTGCTGATATCGATGCTCTTTTGGTATATTTAATTTATTCAATAAAATACTTTACTACGAGTTAATTAATAATAATAAATCATTTATATCTTAAATCTTTCATATGTTGATACATTTTCGGTAAATTTTTTCTAAAACCACTGCAATTTAACATACATAGGGATTGAACTTTTCCACTATTTCTATGTTTTTTTAAATAAAATTTGCTTAGACCTATCAGCTTCCACCGTTATATTCGTAAACTAATACAGACAGTTTGGTGTTAGGGATTGTTTTACTTAGAGATTTTACACCAACTTAGGCAATAAGTATGCAGTGTTGATTAATGGCTTGATGTTTTATTTTCCAACCAGGGAA